CAGATGGGTGTTGCTATGGTGACCAATGAGCTAAGACAAGGCGGGGATTTGCCTAGCTGTGATTTATAGATGGCCTGGAGCCAGTGGGTTTGGCGACGAATATGTAATGAGGACCAGCCAACAAGAGCGTACAGGTCACAGTGGTGGGTATTATATGGGGCTTTGGAGACAAAAACGGATGGCACTGTGATAGACTACATCCAATTTGCTGAGTAGAGTGTTGGAGGCTATTTTGTAAATGACATCGCCAAAGTCAAGGATCGGTAGGATAGTCAGTTTTACGAGGGCATGTTTGGCAGCATGAGTGAAGGAGGCTTTGTTGCAAAATAGGAAGCCGATTCTAGATTTAACTTTGGATTGGAGATGCTTAATGTGAGTCTGGAAGGAGTGTTTACAGTCTAACCAGACACCTAGGTATTTGTAGTTATCCACATACTCTAGGTCAGAACCGTCGAGAGTAGTGATTCTAGTCGGGTGGGCGGGTGCCAACAGCGTTCGATTGAAGAGCATGCATTTAGTTTTACTAGTGTTTAAGAGCAGTTGGAGGCTACTGAAGGAGCATTGAAGCTTGTTTGGAGGTTTGTTAACACAGTGTCCAATGAAGGGCCAGATGTATACAAAATGGTGTTGTCTGCGTAGAGGTGGATCTGAGACAGTCACCAGCAGTAACAGCGACATCATTGATATACACGGTGAAAAGAGTCGGCCCAAGAATTGAACCCTGTGGCACCCCAAAAGAGATTGCCATAGGTCCAGACAACAGGCCCTCCGATTTGACACATTGAACTCTATCTGAGAAGTAGTTGGTGAACCAGGCAAGGCAGTCATTTGAGAAACCAAGGCTATTTAGTCTGCCAATAAGAATGCGGTGGTTGACAGAGTCAAAGGCCTTGGCCAGGTCGATGAAGACGGCTGCACAGTACTGTCTATTATCGATCGCAGTTATAATATCGTTTAGGACCTTGAGCGTGGCTGAGGTGCACCCATGACCAACTCGGAAACTGGATTGCATAGCGGAGAATGTACGGTGGGATTTAAAATGGTAGGTGATCTGTTTGTTAACTTGGCTTTCAAAAACTTTCGAAAGGCAGGGCAGGATGGATATAGGTCTGTAACAGTTTGGATCTAGAGTGTCACCCCCTTTGAAGAGGGGGATGACCGCGGCAGCTTTCCAATCTCTGGGGATCTCAGACGTTACAAAAGAGAGGTTGAACAGGCTAGTAATAGGGGTTGCGACAATTTCGGCGGCTAATTTGAGAAAGAAAGGGTCCAGATTGTCTAGCCCAGATGATTTGTAGGGGTCCAGATTTTGCAACTCTTTCAGAACATTAGCTGTCTGAATTTGTGTGGAGGAGAAGCGGGGGGGGGGCATGGGCAAGTAGCAGCGGAGGGTGCAGAGCTGGAGGCCGGGGTAGTGGTGGCCAGGTGTGGCCAGCCGTAGCAAAATGCTTGTTGAAATTCTCAATTATTGTAGATTTATCGGTGGTGATAGTGTTTCCTAGCCTCAGTGCAGTGGGCAGCTGGGAGGAGGTGCACTTATTCTCCATGGACTTTACAGTGTCCCAAAACATTTTGGAGTTAGTGCTACAGGATGCAAACTTCTGTTTGAAAAAGCTAGCCTTTGCTTTCCTAACTGCTTGTGTATATTGGTTCCTAACTTCCCTGAAAAGTTGCATATCGCGGGGGCTATTCGATGCTAATGCAGTGTGCCACAGGATGTTTTTGTGCTGGTCAAGGGCAGTCAAGTCTGAGGAGAACCAGGAGCTATATCTGTTCTTAGTTCTGTATTTTTTTAATGGGGCATGCTTATTTAAGATTGAGAGGAAATTACTTTTAAAGAACAACCAGGCATCCTCTACTGACGGAATGAGATCGATATCCATCCAGGATACCTGGGCCAGGTCAATTAGGCCTGCTTGCTAAAGTGTTTTAGGGAGCGTTTGACAGTGATGAGGGGTGGTTGTTTGACCGCGGACCCGTTACGGACGCAGGCAATAAGGCAGTGACTCTTTCAGAGTGACCATCAGGTTCTTGGTCACCTCACTGACCAAGGCCCTTCTCCCCCGATTGCTCAGTTTGGCTGGGCGGCCAGCTCTAGGAAGAGTCTTGGTGGTTCCAAACTTCTTCCATTTTCAGAATGGTAGAGGCCACTGTGTTCTTGGGGACCTTCAATGCTGCATAATTTATTTGGTACCCTTCCCCAGATCTGTGCCTTGACACAATCCTTTCTCTGAGCTCTATGGACAATTCCTTCAACCTCATGGCTTGGTTTTTGCTCCGACATGCACTGTCAACAGTGGGACCTTATATAGACAAGTACGTCCCTTTCTAAATCATATCCAATCAATTGAATTTACCACAGGTGGACTCCAATCAAGTTGTAGAACCATCTCAAGGATGATCAATGGAAACAGGATGCACCTGAGCTCAATTGAGTCTCATAGCAAAGGGTCTGAATACTTATGTAAATAAAGGTGTTTCTGTTCATTATTTTTAATAAATGTGCAAACATTTCTACAAACCTGTTTTTACTTAGTCATTATGGGGTATTGTGTGTAGATTGATGAGGATTTTGTTTTTATTTAATCAATTTTAGAATAATGTAAAAAAAAAAGTGGAAAAAGTCAAGGGGTCTGAATACTTTCCAAATGCACTGTATTCTGTAAAGTCAAGGGGGTCTGAATACTTTCCGAATGCAGTGTATTCTGTAATATGTTGTTACTTTCAGATACAAGGGGAGCATCTACTTAGCTTTTATCTTTACATTGTTCTCAGGGTTCTTCTTTTTATTTTGGAATATTAATGACAATGGAAATCCTATAAAAACATTTTTATCAAACTATTCAAACTGAAGCTAGACTCGTCTCACTCCACAGCATCCGCCGATGTCGGCCTTACGCATGTAAAACGCAACATGTAAAGTGTTTGTCCCATGTTGCATGAGATTAAATAAAATATGTTAAATGGCACACACTGCAGCTCATGTCCCAGGTGATTTTATTTATAACAAAGTTTTGACCCTTAGGTCTTCATCAGGCATCCCAGAAATCTTTCATAAGCACAAAAACCTTATTTCGCTCAAATTTTGTGCACAAATTTGTTTACATCCCTGTTAGTGACCATTTATCCTTTGCCAAGATAATCCATCCACCTGACAGGCTGATTAAACACCATGATCATTACTCAGGTGCACCTTGTGCTGGGGACAATAAAAGGCCACTCAAATGTGCAGTTGTTCACACAACACAATGCCACAGATATCTCAAGTTGAGGGAGCGTGCAATTGGCATAATAGCTGCAGGAATGTCCACCAGAGCTGTTGCCAGTGAATTGTATGTACATTTCTCTACCATAAGCCGCCTCCAACGTCATTTTAGAGAATTTGGCAGTATGTCTAACCCGCCTCACAACCGCAGACCTCATATAACCATGCTAGCCCAGGACCACCACATCCGGCTTCTTCACCTGCGGGATCGTCTGAGACCAGCCACCCGGATAGCTGATGAAATTGAGGAGTATTTCTGTCTGTAATAAAGCTCTTTTGTGGGGAAAAACGAATTCTGATTTGCTGGACCCGGCTCTCAAGTGTGTGGGCCTTTGCCCTGCCATGACTGCACCCCTGCCCAATCATGTGAAATCCATAGATTAGGGCCTAATTTATTTATTTGAATTGACTGATTTCCTTATATGAACTGTGACTCAATAAAATCGTTGAAATTGTTCCATGTCGTGTTTATATTTTTTCTTCAGTATAATAGCTTACCCTTTTGTAAAGGAACAAAGTTCAGAGTGAGTTTGTTCCTCACTCAAGTGATGCCGCTCTAACTTCACCACCTGGGTAAGTTAGAATAAACGGAGAAAACAGCGATATCATGGGACCAAAGGTGTTTCCTCTGAGCATTTCTCTATGGAAAGATGGCAGGGCTTGAGGGGTCATTGCTACAGCTGCAAAATACAAAATAACCATCAGCAGCACTGACATTACTTATGATAATTTGCTAATAACTGTTTAACCCTTTGGAGGTTCTTGGGTCTGTAATTGCAAATCTCTGTAATTGTGCCTCATGGTGTTTGAGTGGAGGGGAGTTGCAGCTGATCCAGGGCCTTCAGGGAAGTGGAATGCATTTGAATTCTTGGTTGTTCTGGTCTTCCAGTTGAGTCCAATGTAAAAGATTGTAAGGTAGAAAAAGTTGCATTATTGTACAAACAAGCTCCTATGGTGTTAATTTAAATCGTATCTCTAACTTTTACCAGATCATAAGAGTGGCATTTCCTGAATAAAAAAAGGGTTCAAATATTTTTTTATTCAGTCATTCATACATTGTTCGTGCTCTGTCATCAAGTCTTTTGGTATTTGACAATTTTATTTGGTCTTTTGATTTATTCCTTGAGCAAAAAGCTGAGTAAATCTTGTTCCAAATGTGAAATTTGAGGTACGTTTAGGAATAGATTAAATACTGAATGACACCATTGAATTTGATGGTATCTGGCAATTGAATGATGCTCAACAGTTTTATTGAAACGGAATAAACATAAAAGTTATGAATACAAACAGAGAAAAAACTGCTAAGGCTTCCCAAAGAAAACATAGGAAGTTATAATACCAGTAAAAAACCAAAACAACTGATTTACCTCTAGAAATGCTAGACACACTTTTAGGTAAAAGTGATGTGTGTTAAAACATACGTCCCATGTAACCGTAAGAAAGGATCCAGCAAAAGTTACATTCCCATCTTCAGGCCAAAATGCAATTCTAGCCAATCAAGCAGATTCTGGGGGTCTGTCCACTTTTCTCTCTGTGATTTTTTCTTCTTCTTCGTGATGGATGGAGAATAAAACGTCATAAAAGAATTGCAACCAAAATGTTTTTTTGGGGGTATTTTGTTGTTGTTGTACTTTGTCAAACGCCTTTTTCATGAGTCTTCTTCATTACTTTAACCATAGTTATCGGAATAGTCACCCCCTTGCTGCTGGGCGATGGGCTGGGACCCCCAGTTCTGCTAGTTGGTCTGCCGGCGCTTTGAGTCAGGCTGGTTGAAGGCGTCTGCCTTCCTCTTCCTGCCCCCATTGCCCCCACGGTTCCCCCTGGTTCTTCGGGTACTGTGGTCCCTCTGTGGCTGGAAGGGTCCCCCACGGCCCCTTACTCTGCCATCCCTGGGCCCTGCGATGGGTGGACCCCTCCGCGCATAGCCCCCTTGGCCCTGTGTGGGTGGTGGTCCGTGGGCCCTGGGTGGGGGTGGGGCTCCCCTGCTGGGCAGTCTGCCACGGCCCCTCATTCTGTACAAGTCGTCGTAACCGTAGTAGGAGTCCTCGTAACCGTAGTAGGAGTCCTCGTAACCGTAGTAGGGGTCCTCGTAACCGTAGTAGGGGTCCTCGTAACCGTAGTAGGGGTCCTCGTAACCTCTGCGGGGGTCGTGATAGTCATAGCCATAGTAGTCATCGTAGCTGTGGTAGTCTCGGGGATAGGCTGCGTAGTCCCCGCCCCTTCGGCCACTGCCCCTATCTGGTGGAGGTATGCGTGGCGGTGGGTGGTTGTAATCGTCATCATACCTGCAGAAAACATATCATCTTCAATGTAATCTCATGATGGGATATTTACTCAATCAGATAACAGTCAATCCCAGTCTCTCTGTGGCCTCACCTTCGGTTTCTGGTGGCCTGGCGCTGAGCGTTTCGCGCTTTCTTCCTCTTCGCCATTCTTATCTCAATCTCCCCTCCCCCCAGCTCCTTCCCATTCATTTCTGCCATTGCCTAAAACATGCAGCCAAAATGTTACACATCCGAAGCAAGGTAAACCCCCCCCCCCCCACACAAAAAACTGAAAACAATTAATATGTTTTACTGAGGGTAACCCACCTTCACAGCTGCGTCTCTGTCTACAAAGTGGACAAAGGCATAGTCTTCTAGCTTATTCAACCGGTCCACTTTGCCAAAGGCAGAGAATGTCTTCTCCAGCAGCTCCTCTGTGACCGAGGCGGCCAGCTTCCTGACAAACAAGACCTTCACCTGCTGACTCACATGGACATCAAAGGTCAACGCCATTTAGAAAAGTATAAATAAAAGCACAAGATTAATAAAAGTCAACAGAAGTGGAACACGGAGGGGGGAGGGTAAAACAAAAACAAGAGATGGGAGAGAGAGAGCAACAGAGAAAGTGTGAGAGAGATGAGACTCACCTGGGCCAAGGCACCCGCGTTGCGCTCAGTGACCGGGTTGGCCCACTCCACAGTGACTGGGTTCCCCCACACCATCACTGTGTCACTCATGAGGCAGAGGCGGGCCTCGGCTGCGGACTTGTGGTCCTCGTACTCCAGGAAACAGAAGCCACGATTCTTCTCCTTGTCATCCGTTTGGGGGTAGAGGATCACTTCCTGAAGCCCCTCTGGAGTAAGAAGAACGAGAGTCACATGACTGATATCTGACCAATGATAACCCACAAAACATAAAACAATGTAAACCAAATTAGTCTGCACTTAACTGACCTGTGACTTTGCTGAAGTCCTCCAATATGTTCTCTCTGGTCTTGTTCTTTGGGATTGATCCGACAAACAGGCGGTTGTTTGCTACAGATTTGCACACTCCAAGGTATTTCCTTGATCGGATTTCATAGTTGTCACACTGAAAACCAGAAGAGGAAAGATGGCTTTGTAGGGTTGACAAGATAGCTGGAGGCGGTCCGACAACTGCTCCAATGAAATGTGTATCACATCTTGGGCCGGTTTCCCAGACACATTAACTCTGGCCCTAGACTAAAAAGCACACCCAATGAAGATTCCCTATTGAAAGTGATTTTTAGTGCAGGACCAGGCTTAATCGGTGTCTGGGAAACCAGCCCCTTGGTTCTTAGAAGGTAAACTAAGACTATAGACTGGCTGCAGGGACTTACAAGTTTCACAGCCTCAGTTGCTGCATCCTTGTCGCAAAAGGTGATGAAAGCATAGCCCCGGTTCTGACCAGACAGGGGGTCCATCATTAACCTCAGGTCCCAGATTGGGCCCGCCTTCTCAAACAGAGGCACCAGCTCGTCTTCATACAGGTCTCTGGGGATCTTTCCTACAAACACCTAAATGCAGAAAACAGAGCCTGAGTGAGGGTTCCACAATGTGATCGGGAAAGACTGCTGTTGTGTTGCTATAAACTTCTTTGTTGACATTCTTGGAGCCACAGTCTTGCAAACTGATTTATCTTCTCTATATCAGTCAACGGCTTTGCCACAATGACCATTACCCTTTCAAATAATGTTACTTGAAAATGAAGCAACTCAAGCAGCTTTACCTCAGTTCCCATCCCAGGCTGTGGTCCTTTAAACACTTCTTCTGGTGGGGGCCCTCCGTATTTCCTCTGTTCGGTGGTGACATCCAGGGTGTATCCTGTCCGCTCCAGCAGAGCCTGGAGAACACGTAGACATCAGCATAACCACTACAGAACTACACAACCTGAGCAGGTACACACACACAGGAAGTTCTATTGACACAACTGAATGAACTTTCAAACTGCTGCATTTTACCTTGATCTTGGACTCGGCAGGACCCTTAGTGGATTCTTGTACTTTACTTCCTTGCTTTTCCGTCTGTCTGTACGTCTTCATAGCTGCACAAAGAAAATCACTTTTGTTCTGGAAAGCAAACCACAGCAGAGTTGATTTATGTATTGGTGTTATGAGGAGAGGAAAAATTATAGACCCCTCAATGTCAACTTCTTAAGACTCTTTCGAATGAATCATCATTTAAAATGACTTGCATTCATTCTCGTTCATTCAGCTCCCCCTGTAACTCACCTGCACATTAGATAGGTCACTTTCTTTGAACTGTGAGAGTACAGACAGCGCTCCCTCTTCATTGAATGCCCGCAGCGCATCGATGGCCCCCTCTTCTAGGTCAGTATACTCCAGCAACCCTGTGGGTACAAGACAGATTACTACTATTACAAACTGGCCTTTCATGGATCCTCGAGCAACATCATGTATCTTCAGAAAATAGATCAGACTCAGCCATTGTATGACGGATGCCCCACCTGTTGAGAATATGTTGTAGAGACTTTCAGCCACCTTCTGCCGCAGTCCAGCATTGATGAGTGTCTGGTAGATTTCTGTGTGCTCGCCTTCGGCCGCGACTTCCATAGTCTCCTTCTCCTCCTTCACTGGGGCAGAACTATCGTTCACCTCGGCAGCAGCCATTCTCCTGAGAGAAAGGGGAAAATAGATAAGATAAAAACAGGATTTCAGTTAGAACTTTCCGCATTAGAACATCATATTTGACATTCTAATCTAAAACCCAATCATATTGTTTCAGCTGCTTTTTACAGATCATGACACTAGTAACTTGTAGGGCCCACAAACGTTCCATTTTCTACCATGCATATTTGCAAACGCTAATAATAATAATAATAATATGCCATTTAGCAGACGCGTTTATCCAAAGCGACTTACAGTCGTGCGTGCATACATTTTTGTGTATGGGTGGTCCCGGGGATCGAACCCACTACCTTGGCGTTACAAGCGCCGTGCTCTACCAGCTGAGCTACAGAGGACCACAAAAACTGTCCACGAAATGCTGTCCTACTGAAATAGTTACTCCCATCTAGCTAACCCTCCGAAAGTACAACAGTTTGCAAGAAGATACCGACCCTACCGTTACGCTTGTTTACGCTGCAGCTCAGTGTAAACAAGCGTAACGGTACGGTTGGTCTCTTCTGGCAATCTAAACGGTTTCTTTCAGATGGTAGCTAATGATGTTGTAAATGCATCAGAAATGCGTAACCATCCATTTCAATGCAGACAACCATGAGGTCTGAAATATCAAATACCTGGAGACAAGTTAAAAGGTACGTTTATATCGGGGGCAAGCTAGCTACAGTAGCTAGTCAAGCCAAAGTTCTGTCCGTGGTCAAGCAAGCTAAAATGTGTTGAGCTAAAGCTAGCTTGGCTGGCGGTGTTTTTCTTCGCTAAGCCCCGTGCCGCCCCCTTCCAATAGCCAACGGTAGCTAGCTAAAACTGATTGGATTGTCACAATTTTGAACTTTAACATAATAATAGTAATATAATATGCCATTTAGCAGACGCTTTTATCCAAAGCGATTTACAGTCATGCGTGCATACATTTTTGTGTATGGGTAGTCCCGTGGATCGAACCCACTACCTTGGCGTTACAAGCGCCGTGCTCTACCAGTTGAGCTAGAGGACCACATCAAACTAAATAATCATTTTAGCGTTAGAAATACCAACATTACAATAAAACTAGTATCAAGGTTCATAAGCTTAGCTAAGCAAATAGCTAGCTAGCAGGGCTAACGGTAGCAAGTTAAAGCCAAGGCCTTGTTAGCTTGCTGGACACCTTTCAGAATTCAAATAAACCATCCGCCTAAAGAGGTGAATAATTAATAGTTAGCAAACGCTAAGCTTTCTTTTCCAGGAAAATAACAGTATCGTAAAATATATTTTGCAGCAATTACCCAAAAGAGTAATCCAATATGGTAAAAATGAATAAGATGTTTTAGAAGAGTCGAAGCGAGAGTGATTACTCCGCCCAAAAACTGTGCACGAAAGACTTCTTCTTCTATGATATCATGGCGGTCCACAAACAATCGTTCAAGTGCATGCCGCCACCTACTGTGCTGGAATGTACGATCAATCATGATCTAACCAATTCTGTACTACAATGAAAATAAAAACAAATCCCTACTAACTTCTACCACGCCCTCCCCCTCCCCATTAAACTTTATCTATATCATGCTGAAACACTCCACCCATTGTTCAGCATGTCAACAACCATTTCAACAGTAACATCTGTAACCCCCAATATCTCTTTTGTAGTCTCATTTTTACATTTTAGTCATTTAGCAGGCGCTCTTATCCAGAGCGACTTACAGTTAGTGAGTGCATATTTATTTTTTTCAAACATAGTCTCCATAATAACCTTCAACCTGGCATTTCTGCTTTCCACAACCCGAGTCGTATTGATAACCTTACCAATAAAAGCTATTTAGTCAACTTTATTAATTATCAAAGTGTCCTTTGACACCGCACACTCATGAGTGCAATATTTCTGAACAGTCCTCCAAACCATGCAAGGACCAGCAGACACTAGCCCCGACATTAGGTCCACTTACTACAGGACCAGCAGACACTAGCCCCGACATTAGGTCCACTTACTACAGGACCAGCAGACACTAGCCCCGACATTAGGTCCACTTACTACAGGACCAGCAGACACTAGCCCCGACATTAGGTCCACTTACTACAGGACCAGCAGACACTAGCCCCGACATTAGGTCCACTTACTACAGGACCAGCAGACACTAGCCCCGACATTAGGTCCACTTACTACAGGACCAGCAGACACTAGCCCCGACATTAGGTCCACTTACTACAGGACCAGCAGACACTAGCCCCGACATTAGGTCCACTTACTACAGGACCAGCAGACACTAGCCCCGACATTAGGCCCACTTACTACAGGACCAGCAGACACTAGCCCCGACATTAGGTCCACTTACTACAGGACCAGCAGACACTAGCCCCGACATTAGGTCCACTTACTACAGGACCAGCAGACACTAGCCCCGACATTAGGCCCACTTACTACAGGACCAGCAGACACTAGCCCCGACATTAGGTCCACTTACTACAGGAGCAGCCATGGAAGCTCCATCATTCCCCACTGTAGTTCCACCAATCTGTCTTACAGCCTCTACATACGATACATCATGACTGATCCTATATCTCTGAGCCTCTCTCTGCACCTGGCATCCACCAAATGCTGCACTGAGTTGTGATCCGAGTTGCGTGGCATGGAGCACCTGCTCCCTCTGGGCGGAAGAAACACAAAAAACATCACAAGTCCACTTTGGGTTACCTTCACCCATTTAACAGTACCCAGCTTCAAGTTCTGACTGGGCTCTGTTACTGGGAGGCTGAGTGTAGTGGGAAAGGGTTTCATGTTAGCGTGGCATATAAAGACATGGTAAAAAGGCCATAACTGTTTGCTTGGTTAAAATGACAAATTCTGGAGCCTGAGACTCCTCAAACTCTCATTTCTGGCACAATAATGAAAGCAGTCATACCTGCGTGTTGGGGTGTATCTGAAAAGCACTACCTCGTCTCCTCTGACACATTGACCCACCGGCACACATTCCACTCCACCTTCACTAAACCCCTCTATCCAGCATTTTCAGTCAATGACTATTCATCAGTGTCCATGTGCTAGGTCTAGAATTGGCCTAGAGATTGGGAGTAAAGGAGGATGATGTTGAATGTTTACTAATAAACTGCTGTCCTCCTGAGTCCATGACAGAGATGGAGTCAAGACCATATCCAGTTTAAGGGTGATCAGTTGGCCCGAGAAAATACATGGAAATACTCATCATTTTCCATAATGGTTTGAACATTTCAGTGTTCTGAACGACCTCCATTCTCAACGCGTTTGTATCTCTGAGGTCTCACTGTTCATAACATTTCAAGCTTTTAACCCCAAACCACCACACCTCTAACCCCTGCAGGTATGGGGATAGAGAGAGAGCACACCTAGATAGAAGTCGACATACGAAGTCAGCCATGCTTGACTTGCACCGCACCATCTGTCTCCCTCCAACGTTTTATGAGATACCAGGAAGAGAGGAGGCGAGACTTCAGCATAGGGAAGAGGCTGGATTAATTCAAACAGACATCTTGTTAAGACTACAGCTCTTCTCCAAGGTAATGGTCTGCTGGGTATTTTTGCCGCATAGTGGACAGATAGAAGGAAGCAGACTAACTATGTTGCTGCTGTGAGTTGGAAGAAGGGAGAGGGGGTATGGTGTGAGGTGCTAGAGTGTCTCAGCTTAACCTTCTCTATTTCACAGGGATCCCAATGAGTCCCCCGCAACGCCGGTGCGATTTGGACTTCTAACCCATTTTAAACATTGTGTGTTTGAGCTACAGACTTCTGGGTTGTACCATTGGATTAGTCCATTTCTTCTGCACCAGCTTTGTCTTTGTGATTAATGGGGCTGGGCCCATTTGGCGGATCCCGAAGGGGCCCAGGGCTGGGTCTTTTACAAAAAGTCTGTAGAGTTCTCTAAAAGCTATCTACGAAAAGCTGACTCTCACGAACACGCACATGTAACATGTTTTGCACTATGACGCTCACAAGCTACATAAGCAGTTAGAAGGTAAGGTGTTCAACTACATAGAAGATCATAGGAAATCCAAGGATATATGTCTATAATACTGTAATAAGATCATAGTTGATGTAATAAACTACACACAGTTGTCACTGACTAGTTGGGATATTAATTTCCCACTGAGCAAACCATTTCTGTATGTACAGCATTCATAGAAATTCATTTTTAAAACAGGTTTTTGCTTTGTCAAAAAAAAATAATTGTCAAATTGTTTAGTGTTCTACTTATAGCCCTGGTTGTCCTGAAAATAAAATGGTAAAACACTGTGAGGCTAAATATAAAAGGTCTGGACATGCAGATAAATGAAAGGCAGATAAATTAAAAGCCGATTTTTGTTGGGATCTCAGGACTGATAGGGTTAATAGCCTTTTCTCTGTGCTGACATTTATGGAGACAGCTGCTCATTAAATCGCGCCAATCTACACAATAGAGGATTCACCACCCTCTCAGTTTATAATACAGATTTTGTCCTTGCTTTAAAGTGCTGTCTTATGCAGCTTCTAAGCTTTTTAAGGAGCACTTAAACAATCTTAGATCATGTTCTTTCCCTTTTCATCCTTGCCTACTCTCTCAGATTTCTACAGGGCAGAGTAAAATCCAATTGATAAATTGTGACAGGAGGCCAATTCAGCTTGTCTAATGATGAGGAATGGGCCATGTTCTCAAAGGCTTCTCCAGTCAATTACTGCTAGATAACTCAGCTATGGGTCTTCACACAGTATAGCTCCTCTCTGTTATGTATAAAATAGGCTAGGTCTATTCCTTATTCCATGTTTAGACACAGCTACTATCAAATTCACTCCAGACATGTTAAGGATAGCTTCAAACATGTCTTTCAGACTCAAATGTACCATCTCTTGTGCCTCACTGAAGGACATATCCATAGTACCATTCTCTCAATGTAAAGACCTGCATAGCACCACAGAGACAATGAGCGATGACCAGGGAGAGAGCACACAATTGAGTTTCTCATCCAAAGCAAGTCAGACCTTGGGCAACAGGCACTCAACAGTCATACAGTACGCCTAGGGGACAGTAGGGACACCGTGCTCTTTAGTGTCCCTAGAGGATGCCAGGTGACACTACTGCTCCAATGGGCTACCTGCATTACTGCACATGGGTAAAAGGTACACAATGCCACCAAATAGACTAGACGCAGGGGTATTCAACTCTTACCCTACGAGGTCCAGAGGCTGCTGGTTTTCTGTTTTACCTCAATTAAATTGCACCCACCTGGTGTCCCAGATCTAAATCAGTCCCTGATTAGAGGGGAAAAGGCAGTGGAATTGGCTTCGATGTCCAGATTAGAGTTTGAGGGGACTAGAGCAACAGCATACAGTCTTTCAGTTTTCTTTATTAACTGAAAAGGGTCATTGTCAAATGTTATAAGGCACATATTTTCGCACCCGCACAGATGTCATACTGAGCGACTCAAGTCAGTTGTCAATAGCTTAAAAAGGTACAAAGTGTGTAGCGCTGGGATTGTACATGGAATACAACAATGGTAACATTATGTTCTCCTGTGACATTCACAATCTGTCCAGTACAAACACCACATTCAAATCAGGACAAAATCCTGAGTTGCATTCAACTATTCAAACAGACAGGACCAATTGCTGGCATGTTAAAATACATTTCTTTTTTTCAAATCACACATTTGTGGATGTATACATACTACAGACATAGCTTGGACTGCTGGCCTTTGTCATGTGACCGTAATCTTAAAAGCACATTGCTCAACAATGGCAGTAGATTAATATTGTCACACTTTAATTAAATGCTTCTTGAACCTTTCGCCTGATTAAAACACATCCCCAGGTCAAACTTGGCAAGCTGTGCCCTGAAAGACCTTTTGTAAACAGGAAATTGAAACTCTTTAAGACAGCACCAGAGCCAACATGAATCCTACCGTCATTACAGAGTGATTGATAGAAATGTAATGCAGTGTTTCCCAACCCTGGTCCTCCAGTACCCCCAACAGTACACATTTGTTGTAGCCCTGGACAAACCCACCACATTCAACTCATTGAGGGCTTGATGATTAGTTGACAAGTTGAATCAGGTGTGCTTGTCCAGGTTTACAATAAAAATGTGGACTGTTGGGGGTACTGGAGGACCAGGGTTGGGAAACACTGATGTAATGGATAGAAGTTCTGCCCTTGAGCCAACATGGCTGCCTTAGTTGCCACACATCTTCATCCATCAAAAGGCACCTATAAAGCCACTACTCAATTCTCTCGTGGCAAAACTGCACTTGGGAGGAAGCATCAATTAAGAAATGGCAGGTCCCTGAGGACCACACAGACAGAGACGAGAGAGACGGATGAGAGCGAAAAGGTGGAATGGAGGTGAGAGGATGGGATGAGTGACCAGAAAACAGTTATATGAGGGATGAGTAAGTTAAGCTGGGAGTCAGGGGTAGGGGTGGTTGGGGTCATCCTTTGGGTGCAGCAAGTCTCTGGGTAAACTGGGACCCAGTCCATGGTGGCAGGGCTGGGGCATACATCCCCATCAGGGCCCGGCCATCCTAGAGCAGGTCCCAACTCAATCCCTACCCTTCCCCTTGGCCCAGATCTATTAGATAGGAGCAATATGGTGGAAGCTTTACTACTACACTGCTCAGGGTTCCCCAACGCTGTTCCTGGAGAGCTACCGTCCTGTAGGTTATCTAGCACACCTGATTCTAATAATTAGCTAGTTGATAAGCTGAATCAGGTTTAATTAGAAATAGGGTTGCAGTGAAAACCTACAGGAGGGTAGCTCTCCAGGAACAGCGTTGGGGAACCCTGACACTGCTTATACCTATTAAGAACCTACAGACATACTAACATTGAGGGGTCAGGGCCAAGGGGAGGGATGTGGAACCGGCCACTACTCTACGGCCCTGGGCATGGTGGCCACGTAGACAAAGACTACGATGAGCAGCACCACCACAGCCAGCGTGGGTAGAACCACTGTGGCCACCTGCGACCGGGCCTCCTGCATGGCCGCCTTACGCTCCTTCTTGTCCCTGGACGTCTCCTTCTTGGGCTTCCCCTTCAGCTGCCTCATGGTGGTTCCCTCCCTGGGCGGGCACACTGCAGCACTCAGCTAGGCTCAACCAAGTCTCTCAGACAAATCCTGCAGGTGCAGTGACTGCCTCTACAGTTCTGGAGGTGAAGTCGGTGGCGGTCCACTTGCTTACCAACACCACTGGCACGCACCTGTGTCCAGGAAGAGAACATACATTAATTAACATGTTTTCTATCAGACAGTCTGTCAATCACATTATGAACTAAGAATAGTGGGGGTGGTTACCATACTTTACTAGTCAGGCTACGGCTACGTATTATTATTTTACTTTTCCCCCCTTTTTTCGTGATTAGTAGTTACAGTCTTGTCCCATCGCTGCAACTCCCGTACGGACTCAGGAGAGGCAAAGGTCGAGAGCCATGCGTCCTCTGAAACACAACCCTGCCAAGCCTCACTGCTTCTTGACAATGCTCGCTTAACCTGGAAGCCAGCCGCACCAATGTGTTGGATGAAACACTGTACAACTGGCGACCGAAGTCAGCGCTTGGCCCACCACAAGGAGTCGCTAGAGCGCGATGGGACAAGGACATATTGGACAGCCAAACCCTCCCCAAACAACGCTGGGCCACCTCATGGGTCTCCCAGTCGCAGCCAGCTGCGACACAGCCTGGGATCGAACCCTGGTCTGTAGTGATTTCTCTAGCACTGCGATGCAGTGCCTTAGACCTCTGCGCCACTCGGGAGGCATTACGGCTATGTATTTTGATTAATTTATTGGTAGCTTGGGTTAAGTCTGACTTGGACTTAAGTGTGAAACAAGAGAACTATATTTCACATTACTAAACCATATCTATATTACACAGTTAGCCAAATCCAAATGAAGGATCATCCTAAACCACAAAAGTGTGGTCAAAAGTGACCGGTTCTGAAATGCTACCCCCCCCCCCAGCATGTCTAATGGCAAAGCTTCCACCGCAGGATCTCTGAAGAGAAATGACACCCATCGCTATGGCAACCGAACACAGTGCAGCAGAACCGCTGCACATTTTTGTTGTTACTTAACGTACAAAAAATGTCACTTCAGACTATGAAAATATGTGTTTTCCACAAGACATCTCTTGGATGCTGCATTCCAGGCTACATAAAGTGATGTGGCGTAAATTCCCTCATTGTATTAGATGATGTACTGTGGATTCTGGGAGACTGGTGCAGGCTGAGGCCTATTCTCAATATTCAGCAGTGTCGTAGTGCCTGAAACGTTCTTGGCTGTAGATGGGGGAGAGTCTGGACCAGTCAGCGGTAGTTCCACACATTCAGATGTATTGGACTACTGCTTTCAGATTGACTAGAGTAGGAGAGCCTCTCCACACAGTCCTTCACATCACAGCAGTGACTGATAGTTAGATCAAAAGGGTCATGTTCAGTAAGAAGAAGAACATTTTCAATGTGAATAAAACAGGTAGGCTACTAACTGAATAATGAAAATGGGGAGGTAGGCTACTTACTACCTGAATTTGTCCAACAATAACATCCTTGATTTTCACAGTGTGCCCTATTGAACACAACCCTGGTATTTTCAGATATATATTTTTCAAATAGTGTAAAACTATTTGGTCTAAGTTGCGTCTTTGAGACAACATTAATTTGCTTTGACTCTAGTGATCCATTTGTACATGTGCATTTGCGAGGCACAACAAAAAGAAACCAAGCCAAGCATCAAACAGTCTCCCTAAATTCCCTTGCGTTACATGCTTCTGTTAGGCCTACAGAAATGCCTATACAAACAAGCTGCATCCCTTGCCAAATCACAAATACAAAATCGGCTGATTGACTGAAGTAGGGAAATATGTGTTCGAACCAAGCCCTTTCCTGTTTCAGCATGACAATGCCCCCGTGCACAAAGCGAGGTCCACACAGAAATGGTTTGTTGAGATCGGTATGTAAGAACTTGACTGGCCTGCACCGAGACCTGACCTCAACTCCATCTAACACCTTTGGGATGAATTGGAACGTTGACTGCGAGCTGGGTATAAATCGCCCAACCTCAATGGAAACAAGTCCCCGCAGCAATGTTCCAACATCTAGTGAAAAGCCGTCCCAGAAAAGTGGAGGCTGTTGTAGCAGCAAAAGGGGGGGCAACTCCATATTAATGCCCATGACTTTGGAATGAGATGTTCGACGAGCAGGAGCCACATACTTTTGATCATGTAGTGTATGTGTAACAGGTAGGATACCAAACCACCTGGTGTTCAGCAAGATATAAAGCTTAATTTACAGCGGTTGTCCACACGGGTAAATAATATGTGCACAGCATGTTGTTAATATGAATCCACTTAGTTACCACTTATGTTCATGCAGTCGTAACCCAAGTATTTCACGTTAGCTAGTTCCCCTAGTCTTCGGTTCTCGACAGGAATGCAACCATACACAAGTGTAATTTCATGTGATTGTCTGGTTGATAGTTTGCCTGCCCTCCCCTCCCCTCCCCTGGTAGTTCAACAACTCCTCTACATGTGACCGACTAATATAGGCGATAATGTAATCATTTAGCATCAGGGTATATTTAACTAATTATTAGCCTGATATAGCAACTAGCTACGTTTTAAGAACTTCAACGCCGAAAACATGGTTTCGATTTTCGTGTAACCTAACGATAGCTAACAAGCTTATCCCCTAATGTTAGCTAGCTAGAATTCTGTAGCCAGCCATAACGTTGACGTTGGCTCATACTTGCGCCACCTCTCCCAGTCGAAAATAGAACTAGCTAGCTAGCTAGCCAATTAGCGTTACTTTAGAATACTTTTACTTACCTACTCAATTAACAATATCCACGTTTCAATGTTTTTTTTTTCACAAGGGAAATGAAAATATTTCCCCCACCTTGACCTTGTATGCGCTAAGGTTTAGCCCGTATGGTCTCCTGCAGTTTCGCCATGCTTCTGCTACTTACCCCGCAGACTGCCCCTTCTACCTATGTCTATTACCGCGTTCACATACTGGTCAGAACTAGGAAAGTCTGACATTTCCGACTTGCTTCAGCGTTTCCCAAACTCGATCCTGGGGACCCCAATGGGAGCACGTCTTATTTTTTGCCCTACCACTACACAGCTGATTCAAATAATGAACTCTTCATCAAGCTTTGATTATTTGAATCAGCGTTGTAGTGCTAGGGCAAAAACCAAAACATGCACCCATTGGGGGCCCCAGGACCGAGTTTGGGAAACGCTGACTGGTTCAACGCGGCACGTATATACAGTAACTACAACCAGTTAGCAAGTCTGAAGTTTCCTAGTTCCGACTAGTAGATGAACGCGGCATGTGCTCTGAACTCGGGAGATTACGTGGCAAATGGCAATAGAGCTCAGACAGAGGATGAAGCCAAATAGACTCACCAGTGCGTCCTATAGGGCAGGAGAGACATAGCCACTGTTGTACAGAGATGTTTTCCTGTCTTGTACCTGTAGATGGGGGAAAAGGTCCAGTTTTACTAAGCAACAAGTAGGAATGGTTGGTGAGCTGCTCAGGATACGGTAAAGGAACTGGGTAGCCAACATAGTATGTCTCTGTGAATAATTCTGCCTTCAATTATCATAACACACTGACCTATGTTCAAAGTTGTCTTCTAGCCTACTCTTCTTCATCAGGAGTTACCTAACACTCCCCATGGACCCTATTAATCAGGTGTGTTCAAGCACGGCTGGAACAAAAGCATGCACACCAGTGGCTCTCCAGGAAGGTTTGGTACTCAGTTACAGTTCATATAAGAAAATCAGTCAATTGGAATAAATCAATTAGGCCCTAATCTATGGATTTCACATGACTGGGCAGGGGTGCAGCCATAGGTGGACCTGGGAGGGCATAGCCCTACCCACTTGGAAGTCAGGCCCACATACTCGGAAGCTAGGCTCAGCCAATCAGAATACGTTTTTCCCCCAAAAGGGCTTTATTACAGACTAAAATACTCAGTTTCATCAGCTGTCCGGGTGGCTGGTCTCAGCACAAGGGGCACCTGTGTAATGATCATGCTGTTGTATCAGCTTCTTGATATGCCACACCTGCCAGGTGGATGGATTATCTTGGCAAAGGAGAAATGCTCGCTAACAGGGATGTAAACAAATTTCTGCACAACATTTGAAAGAAATAAGCTTTTTGTGCATATGGAACATTTCCGGGATCTTTTATTTCAGCTCATGAAACATTGGCAGCATACATAGCTAAGTGTCACAACAACAGTAGCGGTATTATAGGTAAGAGGTTGATAATTAAAGCTTGTTCAGACCGGTACAGTAGCTAGTTCCACCATGTTGCTTTGAGGAGGGGACAAGAAGCAGGCAGGGTTGCGTGTATATCTGACCCCAGGTAGAGTAGCAGGCTTGTTGGGGACAGAGAGAGGACAGGCAGGGTGAACCTCTCCAATGTGTCTTTCTGCACCTGGCAACCCAGAAGGGTGTTCCCAGCCTGGACACACTCGGACACACTGGCCGCTGAAACACACATCACCAGGACAGGCATCATTATACTGTGGAATCATGGTGGCAAGGGTGGGCAAAATGTATCTTAAAACACTTGTTCAAAGACAAAATACCACCAACATTGTATTGTGAATGATTATACTCAAAATACAAATATATTTGTCATTTAAGTAATACGGTGGATCCCTACCAGGAAATTGCTTTCACCTAAACAATTTATTTTGAATAAGGGTAGATGAAGGCCAAGAGTTTAGATGCCAGGACTATGAGAGTGAGCTATAGCTACCTTTCTGAGCCTGGATCCATGATACTGCCTTCATGGCCAGAAACTGCCACTCCTCCTGAGCCTCCATCTTGAACCCATAGAGCCATACCAGGGCTAGAACCGTGGCCCACACCTCCTGGTCAACCTGTGTGAGAGAGACAGACAGACAGACAGACAGAAAGACAGACAGAAAGACAGACAGACAGACAGACAGACAGACAGACAGACAGACAGACAGACAGACAGACAGACAGACAGACAGACAGACAGACAGACAGACAGACAGACAGACAGACAGACAGACAGACAGACAGATAGATGCGGAGAGAGAGAGAGACAGAGAGAGCAAGAGAGAGACAGAGACAGACAGAGAGACAGACAGACAGAGAGACATAGACAGACAGACGTAGAGAGAGAGACAGACAGACAGACAGACACAGACGGAGAGACAGACAGACAGAGAGACAGAGACAGACAGACAGACAGACAGACAGGGAGAGACAGAGAGAGACAGACAGAGAGACATAGACAGACAGAGAGAGAGACAGACAGACAGACAGACAGAGAGAGAGAGAGACAGTAAGGGAAAGAGAAAGATGATGAGAAAGAGAGGAAAGAGGCAGAAGAAAAGGATACTGAGACATGGGAATCATGGTGAGATTCAATGCAATGGTCATCATGCCTTTGTCCAGACCTGATGGTCTTTCTACAGAGCATACGTGCAGATACTCTGTGTGAGTTCATACTCTTGCAGCATGTTCATATTGCTGAGTCTCAGTTTATTTCTGTGGACCTACCAGTGCAGGCTTTGGCTTGGCCACCTCCTCCTCAGTCTTCTCCAGCACCTCAGCCAATGCTGGCTCCAGGACCCAGGAACCAGAGGCCTTCTGGAGGGAGATCAGCTGGAGGAGAGGGTCTCTCGCAGGCTTAGAGGCTATGCTGGACAGTCAAAGTCTGATGGGGTAGGACAACATAATGGTCAGAAACGGTTAAAAATTATCAAACCGCTTACCTTCATACCTCATCCTGAACCCTAATCCTAACCGTTGGAGTAAAATCCTTGTGCTGTGCTTCAGTAATAAAGTCACAATCCAAATAATTTAGGGAGCATCAAACAGCGCAACAAATTGCAAGTATTTGGAATTAGGTTAACACGGACGTTAACGCTTGTCCCAAATTACCTTCTTCATCACATTCTAATACTTCACAAGTATCATAACCTGAAAAACTGTAAATTGGTAATGTTTGTCGTACAGTGCATTAGGAAATTATTCAGACCCCTTGACTTTTTCCACATTTTGTTACGTTACAGCCTTATATGGCGCAGTTTCTATTAATGGAGCGTCATGGCAGTCTTGTCTGTAAGTGGTGTCACATTCCCTTAATGTATCTGACCAAGGCCTGCACACTGTAAACTGTATAAACAGTGTTGTTTTTACCCAGTGTCCTCTGCAGCCTTGAGACTGAAGCTCAGCTGGTTCTCAACAGGCTGCTTGGCTAAGCTGTATTTCACTGTCACTGAGCCCTCTGTGGCCCCTGAGCTCTGATACAGACAGACAGGCAGACAGAGAGAGAGTGTAGTATCTAAACAGTTTATGACTTTTCTGACGTTTGCAAATGGTGTGTTAGAGGAAGTTGACTCAGCTTGCGGAAGCATCTGGAAAGCATTACTATAGGGGCGCCCTAAAACAGAGGAAGTCTGTTATGTGGAGGCCAGGGATTGGTTTATGGGAAAACCACCCATATCATGTTACATATTATAAATACCATGGTTGGAACAAAGGATGGAGAGAATATAACATATTAGAGATTGGGTCAGTTGTTCTCCAGATGTCTGCAGGAGTCTGTAAATTGACACTGAAATCTTTGATGTAATAAACCATTATGATCAAGGACAGTGTCAGCGGAGTTCTTGTCATCACAGCATAATTAGCATCGTTATTTCGATACCACAGAATGGCGACGAGGACCTTTGGGACGTGTTGCGTCTCTCCAGCGTTCCATTCATGAGCTACGAAGTGACTCCCGCTCAAGACGCCGGCACATAAGGTGAGATTTCTCACAATTTTGGCCGCTGGTCGGTTCGTTTGCTTATGTGGGTGTGTGCGCTGAGGAGATGTACCGTTTAAAGACTTATATGTGCACTTTGCTGTTATTTGCTGTGGGATAAGAATCCGTTCTACATTTCTAAATTTAAGGTTAAACTCTTATGAGTCTCTAATAAAAGAGAACGTTTAATAATTGTGAACTATATATGAGCCCCCTGGGAGGACGTTAAGGTTAAAACCTTGTATGAGTCTCTATTAAAAGAGAAAGTTTAATAACTGTTAAAAGACTATGAACCTACAGGGAGGGTTTTAAGAGTGTATAGGGATGTTTTGTAATGGATAAGAAAATAACTATAAATCTGCAGATTAGGATAAGTGAAGTTAAGAAACTTCAAAGTAGGATTTGTGTTCTATGTTCTGTGTTGGTTTGGGAGTTTTGTTAAGTGTTACTGTTTGTCTTTGTTGGAAATAACGGAGGGACAGCTGGTCTGTCTACTTTCTGTTGTTTAGCTTGGAGAGAGCTGCTTGGGAGCTCTTCTCACTCTGAAATCGCACTGGTGAATGAACTGCGCATGTGTGGGATTTTATGAGTTTAGAGTTACGTGGAGCAAATATGCCACTCCCCTGCCTGCACTGAGCTGCTGTGACATGCAGACAGAGAAGGAGGGGGAGACTTACACACAAATAAATTATTCTGTTTGTTAAATCGGCTGTTGTTTAACGATGAAACTATTTGATTGAGATCTATTGAATTTATAAATGAGAGATATGTTGACAGATTAAAAATAAAAATAATTAAATAAATAAATAAAATGTTATTGCGCTATTTATAATATTCCTGAGTTAAGCTGTTTGCTTATTTCTTAGCGGGAGTGTGAACATAGGTATGTCTAAAAGGGTATTGTATGGTTGAAATAACCCAGTGAGTGCATAAAATACTAAATTCTTGTCTGTTCCTTTGGTCTTCTGTCATGTGAGAGACGAGAGGGAGGAGACAGAGAGAGAGGAGGTGCTGACCAGTGCGTCACGCGACAGTGTGTGCTGCCCTGGATCCAGTCCAATCAAGGCCAGTACTGTTCTGTTCACAAAACGTACCTTCCCATACAGGATATTGTGTGTGCCTATCATATTTCATGTTGTGACAATTTGACAGGGACTTGGCAACAGACTGATCAATTGATGTAATTAAGAATTGAACATTGGAGTTTTTTGTGCATGAGTTGGTTTGATTAGAGTTGAGTTGGAAATCCAGCACTGACATTATTCTGTAAAATTAAGGTAATTGGGTGCTTATTAAGCAATTGGTTTGTGAGTGCTGTAGTGTTGCTAGATTACAGGTCTTTCTTTTTTGGATTGCTCTGAAGTTGACTACTTTCCTTTACTTTTCCTGATCGGATGTGGTAAGATTGCCACTAATCAATAATTTGGTAAAATATAATAAAATAAAAATAAATTAATAAATTAGGAGGGAAACATAAGCTACATAGTCTAAAGTATTTTTTGGTTGACAAATTAATTGGTTTAAAATAATAATAATAATAATAAAATAATTCACAATAAAGGAATATAAAAGAGTTGTTACAATGAGGAAAAAGGACATCAAAACTATGAAAGTAATTACTCCTGTTGATGTAGTAGAAAATAGTAATCCTCTAGTTAATGGTATTGCAAGGTTATCTGGAAAATAGAATAAACGTTGGCCTGACATTGAACAACCATGGCCAGTGGAAGGGACTCTTAACCCTGACGTCATCAACATAATGAAAGTGCTTGTGTCGATTTATAAGGCAGATCAAAAGAAGGGGAAAAAAAGGGAACAACGTAAAGAAGAGACAAAGAGAGCTGGGTGTTCTTAAGCTGTTTGAAAATGAAGGACAAAAACTGATAAAAGATACCAAAGATAAAAGAAACAGACGTATAGAGAAAATGGCAAAAGAGGTGAAGGTGACAGAAAAACTAAAGGCAGAAGTCAGTACACCTTTCTCACATACGGATTCAGCAAAAAGACCCCCACCTTACGAGGAAGAAGTAGAGTTTAAGGACGTCTATCCTCAGCTTCCAGTGATCATTCAGGAGGGTGATTATTGCATCAGAGATGAAGATGAACGAATAATAGAGAGAGGACAAGCAGAAACGACCATAAAGATGAATCCAAACTCCAAAAGTAAGAAGAAAACGAGATGTCTGGAAACTAAGGGTGGAGTGAGGTTCAGGAGGATGGAACTTGAAGATGATGATGATGATGATCAGAGTGATTCAGAAGAGATCATGGGTGGACATGACCCTGTGATCAGACGGAGGTTGGCCAGAGCGGAAAGAAGGGTGATGGAAGTTGGAAGAAGAAGAATACAAGAGATTCGAGTTCTGATGAAAGTGAAGATGAAGACAGCGATAAAGATTTGGAGATTAAAGGTGCTTCATATTCAAGAGAATTTTATCCTACAATGATTAGCACAGAAGAAATAGAAAGAGATATAGACTGATGCGTATCATGCCTGGATAAGGCCAATAATTTAGAAGAAGTAAGAGAACTGGAAGAACAACTCAAGAAGCTGAAGATACAGAAGAAAAAACTGCTGAAAAAAGGATCCCAAGAATTGGAGAAGAAGTATACATTGAGGCCAAGGAAAGAGAGCACAAGTAAGAAGATGATGCCAGTGATAATTCGAGGACAGAACCTGGAGTATAAACCTTTGCAGAATACTGATATGTCAGATATAGTTGAGCAGCTGCCTACACTTCAAGATGGAGCATATCCTTGGATTTAAAAATTGGAAGAAATTACGGTGGGAACACAGTCTGCCATAGGAGACATTAAGAGACTTTTGGCTAATCTCCTTGGGATTCCAGAGATGGAATTAAATTTTGTGCTGGACTTAATCGATATGTGGGGACTGCGGTGAATGATCCTGAATTGTTGGCTGCAAGTAGAAATCGGCTGTGGAGAGCACTTAAAGATACGTTTCCAACAAATGTGCATCCTGACAAAATTCTGATTGACCCACTAGGACAACAAGAAAATCCGAGAGCCTATGTGTCAAGCGTTCATCAAGTGTGGAGAAATTTTACCGGAAATGATCCAGATGTGAGTCAAATTGAGCAGTCAATTTTGAGAGCTAAACTGCAGATGGGACTGCCCTCACCAGTAAGGAGCAAACTGGCAGAGGTGGTTGGACTTGGAAGCATGACAAAAGGTGTCTATACAGATCACATAGCCCATCAAGTGGATCTGTACCGGAAAAAGGAACACAACCAGAAAGAACAGGACCAAGAAATCTCAGAAAACTCAATCAAATACAACTGGTGGAGAATAAGAAGGAGAAGAAACAAGCTTTGGTTATGCAGAATCAGTGTGCACCAAGTCAACGATCACTGCCACAGCTTCAACCGGACCAGTTCCAACCGCAATTGTACCAGCCACCAATGGCGGTACCAGTTGTTTCATATCCACAGCCAGTTTCTGGACAGACACAGAATTGGAGAGGAAGAGGATGAGAAGGCTTAGGAAGAGGAAGAGGAGGAAGATTTAAGCCATACTTCCAGCAATCTTCAGAAGTGTGTTATAATTGTGGACAGGTTGGTAACTTTGCCCGTGAGTGTAATGGGCCAGGAGGAAACACCAGAGGGAATTTCAGAGGAAGATACAGGGGCCAGTCAAGATCATCTGGAGGACCGGTGAACCCTTATAGGGGCCCGGAGAAAGGATTCTAGGGGTGCCCAGAAGATCCGAAAGGGGGGTGTCAGCTGGTAGCATCAGGACCGGAAAAAGATCCAACAATTGAGGTGAAAATAAACAACCGACCATTGGAAGTGATGGCGGATAGCGGAGCTGCTTTTACCTGTGTTCGGCCTGAAGATGCTACACATCTCCCTATGTCCAATCAACTAATTAGGACAATCGGATTTGAGGGAGTGAAACAGCTGATTCCTCTTACGGAACCAATTGAGCTCTGCTATAAAAATCTGAAAATTACAATACCCATACTGGTATCAGAACATACACCTATTGCGTTGTTGGGAAGAGATGCATTGTGTAAGTTGAACTGTACAATAAAATGTACACCAGACAGCTGTCTGGTAGAAGTGCCAAAGGAAAAGGTTGACCAATTGTTGATGATGACAGAGATGGATTCTTCTTCAGTATTCTGGATTGGAAATCTCAGTGAAGATTTTTTGAAGCAGGCTAAGATATGGGAGAAATTCATTGTGGAAAATATGCCAGATGCGAGGCTTCCGGAATATCCATTTCATTGTACGCTCAAGTATTTCAAGAATGCTGCCCAATCGAACTCAGAGGAATGGTTGAGTCATCAACCAAAGAAAGTTCAACTCAGCTCATGTTGCATAATTTTAGGACCACAAGGAGCAGCTATGAAGATGAACACAGACGATTATCTGGATAAAGAATTTGAGATTGAGAAGAGTGTGCCACATGTGACCTTGTTGGTTTCTGAAGACTATGAGCAGAAGCAAATAATAGAAATGATGACAGAAGCAGAGAAAGCTGTTTTCGTACCGATGAAAGAGAATTTGGCGATTTGGAGGAGTGAAGATCAGCGATTTCTCAAAATCATGATTTCGGCTCAAGGACAAGGCGAACCACAAGCTGTACGCATGACACATGAATCTATTTGCAGTGTGAAGATGGATTCAGAACCTATGAAAGAGGAGATGTTGCAACAAGTTCCAGAATGTTTGTGGTCTCAACACAGTACCGATATTGGACTTGTGAAATCAGCCCAACCGGTGAAAGTTGAACTTCGACCAGGAGCCAGACCTCCTTGGAAGAATCAGTATCCATTGAAAGATGAAGCAATCCAAGGGATTGAACCACAAATTGAAGGACTTTCGAAAGCAGGTGTTTTAAGGACAACAAAAAATCCTCAGAGTTACACACCTTTGTTGCCTGTGAAAAAACCAGATGAAACTTATCGTGTGGTTCATGATTTGAGAGCAGTGAATGAGGTAGTGACTGACTTTCCAGCAGAAGTGCCAGACCCGCATACCTTGTTAGCCCAAATTCCTTTTTTAGTGTTCCACTTAGTGTAGAAAGTCAGGGTTTATTTGGGTTCACATATAAGGGACAATTCTATGAGTACAGTCGTTTGCCACAGGGGTACAAGCATAGCCCCCATATTTTCAATAAAGTACTGAAGGATGATTTGGTAGGGATAGATCAGATATTGCAAAGCACTGTCATTCAGTACGTAGATGATATAATTATCTGCTCACAGAATAAGGAAACATGTCATAGAGACTTTTCTATGGGGTTGAGATCTGGAGACTGGCTAGGCCACTCCAGGACCTTAAAATGCTTCTTACGAATCCACTCCTTCGTTGCCCGGGCAGTGTGTTTGGGATCATTGTCATGCTGAAAGACCCAGCCACGTTTCATCTTCAATGCCCTTGCTGATGGAAGGAGGTTTTCACTCAAAATCTCACGATACATGGCCCCATTCATTCTTTCCTTTACACGGATCAGTCGTCCTGGTCCCTTTGCAGAAAAACAGCCCCAAAGCATGATGTTTCCACCCCCATGCTTCACAGTAGGTATGGTGTTCTTTGGATGCAACTCAGCATTCTTTGTCCTCCAAACACGACGAGTTGAGCTTTTACCAAAAAGTTATATTTTGGTTTCATCTGACCATATGACAGTCTCCCAATCCTCTTCTGGATCATCCAAATGCACTCTAGCAAACTTCAGACGGGCCTGGACATGTACTGGCTTAAGCAGGGGGACACGTCTGGCACTGCAAGATTTGAGTCCCTGGCGGCGTAGTGTGTTACTGATGGTAGGCTTTGTTACTTTGGTCCCAGCTCTCTGCAGGTCATTCACTAGGTCCCCTCGTGTGGTTCTGGGATTTTTGCTCACCGTTCTTGTGATCATTTTGACCCCACGGGGTGAGATCTTGCGTGGAGCCCCAGATCGAAGGAGATTATCAGTGGTCTTGTATGTCTTCCATTTCCTAATAATTGCTCCCACAGTTGATTTCTTCAAACCAAGCTGCTTACCTATTGCAGATTCAGTCTTCCCAGCCTGGTGCTGGTCTACAATTTTGTTTCTGGTGTCCTTTGACAGCTCTTTGGTCTTGGCCATAGTGGAGTTTGGAGTGTGACTGTTTGAGGTTGTGGACAGGTGTCTTTTATACTGATAACAAGTTCAAACAGGTGCCATTAATACAGGTAACGAGTGGAGGACAGAGGAGCCTCTCAAAGAAGAAGTTGCAGGTCTGTGAGAGCCAGAAATCTTGCTTGTTTGTAGGTGACCAAATACTTATTTTCCACCATAATTTGCAAATAAATTCATTAAAAATCCTACAATGTGATTTTCTGGAATTCTTTTTCTCATTTTGTCTGTCATAGTTGACGTGTACCTATGATGAAAATTACAGGCCTCTCTCACCTTTTTAAGTGGGAGACCTTGCACAATTAGTGGCTGACTAAATACTTTTTTTCCCCACTATACATAATTTGTGTCATATTCTTTCTGTATTAATTTTTGAAGAATGATGTTTTCTGTTGTTGGGGACATGTAGGGACCTCAGATGTTTTTGTTTTTTCGTGGATGCTTAGGGATATTGGGTCTAGGCAGGGACAGAGAGAATCCACAGGAGGGTCCGATGGGTCGACCAGCCTGAATGTGGACATTTTTTATTGTATTTTGTTTTCTGAGGCTTTCATGTGTATTCAATTGCATCTTAGTTTAAAATGCATTGATAAAGATTTTTGAATTGATCTGGAGTACTTAGGTGGTCGCCTGGGGCATAGGGGCCGTGAGAGAATTTTACTGTCTTGATTGATTGATGGATATTTGGAAAGAAAGCTGCCAGACAGGTTTTTCGCTCTCTCACTCCATAAAGATTTGTTCATATTTCATAGAAATGTATTTAAACTCCATAGAAAAATGTGTTTACTCTCCATAAATGTTGGTTTATTGCTAAAGTTACTCAATAAGAAAAATTGTTATTTGTCATAATCCTATTATTTTTGTTTTCGAGACTTAATTAGTCTCGAAGGGGGGAAATATGCAGTATCTAAACAGTTTATGACTTTGCTGACGTTTGCAAATGGTGTGTTAGAGGAAGTTGACTCAGCTTGCGGAAGCATCTGGAAAGCATTACTATAGGGGCCCCCTAAAACAGAGGAAGTCTGTTATGTGGAGGCCAGGGATTGGTTTATGGGAAAACCACCCATATCATGTTACATTTTATAAATACCATGGTTGGAACAAAGGACGGAGAGAATATAACATATTAGAGATTGGGTCAGTTGTTCTCCAGATGTCTGTAAATTGACGCTGAAATCTTTGATGTAATAAACCATTAAATCATGGACAGTGTCAGCAGATTTCTTGTCATCACAGCATTAGCATCGTTATTTCGATACCACAAGAGAAAACAAGAGAAGAAGAAATACAGGGTTTTGAGTGAAACTTACCAGTGTCTTTTTGGGGCACTCTTCTTAGAACATTGACATGCTGTATTTAAAAAAATATGAACACATAACAGTAGAAGTCAGAGCCCTCACCTCCCCAGTGAGCTGGGAATAAAGCAGCGCCCTTTGACCCTGGAAGAGAACTCTGATTGGTGGAGACAGAGTAATTTTGACCTTTAAACATTTAATTGAAATACTGTAGAATTCCATTCATTCCTATGGAGGACTGCTACTACTGGGGAGATACATAGCATCAGCAATCCAGGGTTTATATTCAGTGCATTCGGAAAGTATTCAGACCCCTTCACTTTATCCACATTTTGTTACATTACAGCCTTATTCTAAAATTGATTAAATTGTTTCCCCCTCCCCTCCCCCCATCATCAATCTACACACAATACCCCATAATGACAAAGCAAAACCAGGTTTTTAGATTGTTTTTCAAATGTATAAAAAAAATTAACATATTTAATCAATTTTAGAATAAGGCTGAAACGTAACAAAATGTGGAAAAAGTGAAGGGTTCTGAATACTTTCCGAATGCACTGTACATCTTTGTTAACAACAAGGGCCGTCGCCAGAACTAATCAGTTGGATTGGCATTTTATTTCTATGGGGGGGTCTCCTATGTATGCACGCGCTTTATAGTAAAGACATGTAATTTAACTATACAAATGTATTACATTTGAATGTGGATTGAACACAAGCAGTCATTATGTTTTCATTTGATTGTCAAACAAATCACTTCAAAATGTAGGTTACATTTGCGCGTTTGTCCAAAATTATTCCAGCATCTGAAATGTGAACCCGTCAACTTTCCTTCAATTCGAAAGTGGCTGAAACATTATCTGAAGCTAGGTTTCCATCCAATTGGTGACAGATTTTAATGCGAATATTCTAAAAACAGCGTAAAGAAAATATGCACATTTCCCCTCCAGTGGTGTGTTTCCACCAAACGGACTTGTAGCGGATAGAAATCAGTGCGTGATGACGTAGTGCACACCCCCAAAAAATGTTTTACTTAAGTTTTCATGTACCGAATAAAAATTGAAAGTTCAATGTGTTTCCATCGTATTTTCAAATCTACCGATAGTTTAGTCAGAACAACTATTGCATTAAATAGCAAATGTGCCTCCTCTGGTCTTAGCGCGTGCGCTCTAACAACAGCTCGCAGATACAGTGCGGGTAGCCTGTACGGTAGGCTAGTCTACATGATGAGATTATTATGGATAATATTTTGATTTGTCAAATGGCAGCTAAGCATTGATCATCATGTTTAAGAACCTCGATATTTATTGAAAAGGAGCATCAAGATCACCTTGCACATTCACCACCCTGTGAAGTTCATCACAACCTTCATCTGTAGTGTGGTATCTGAACAATTTATGACTTTGCTAATGGTTGCAAATGGTCTTAGAGGATGTTGACTCAGCTTAAGGGAGCATCTGGAGAGTAGTTCTATAGGGGCACCCTAAAGCAGAGGAAGTCTGTTGGGTGGAGTCCTGGGATTGGTCTATAGGGGAAAACACCCATATCAGGTTACATAGGATATATACTATGGTTTGGGACAAAGGATGGGGAGAATAACATATTAGAGATTGGAGCCGGTTATTCTCCAGATATCGGCAGATATCTGTAAATTGACGCTGGAATCCTTTGATATAAATAAACCTTTATAATCAAAGTACAGTGTCAGCGGATTTCCTTGTTCTCACAGCATAATTAGCATAGTTTTCTCGACACTACATAATGTCGACGAGGATGCCCACTCTGGGAAACCACAGTAGCCTAATAAATTGCCTGGTTTCCCGAGTCATAGTGGGAGGACCACAAACCATATCACCTTGTGACTCAAAGTTTACTTCGATATGATTGGTATTATATCAATATTTGTGCAAAAAGGAGTTTCCGCCACCATTTCTCGCATAATTAATTTTACAGACCCAAAAAGATCCCACCATGTCGAACGAACAAATGATCTGTCGGCAATTATAAAAATGTGCCGAAACTACCTTTTTCCATCACAGCTGTCATGATTTTTATCAATAAGACATGAATGACTTTACTTGCACAAAAACTATGGATGGAAACGATCTGAGATTGATGCGTCTTTTTTATTTGGACAGGAAGGGAGGTATGGTAGGGCGGGCCCATAATGCCGGTCCTGGTAAGAACATTTGTACTAACATGTTATTGATTGGTATTAACTTGAAATTAACCCGAATCCTGCTGTTAATGATACTTCTGTGGATTTCAAAAATGTCAACAGTTGCATTTGTCTCGTTGTTGACTTGTCATTTCTCCTCACCTTCTGTTTCTCCTGAACTTCAGCCACCACCTCAGTCTGTCCTATCTTGGCGCTGAACCTGCAGACAGCAGCCTCTCCTGGCAGAGGGAAAACAAAGATGGCCTCCAGAGGGCTTTCCTCCTGGTTCTCATACTGCAGAGTGGAGCTCACAGTGGCCACATGCCCCTGCACACTCACCTCCACAGCAATACTCTTCAGAGGCACTGAGAGCGGGAGGGATGGATGGATGGAGAGAGGGATGGAGGGAAGAGAGAACTGACGATGACATCGTTTGGGAACCACTTAGAGATAGTAAATGTGATTGATAGCTCATCTGATGGAAACGTTTAATTTATTGAAAACTATATAAAATGTGGTGGAAAGTTCTGAAGTATCTCTTTAATAAATAAAGATAAACTAGATACTGATGAGAGCTCATGTCTGGGAGAAGGACGAAACACACAGACATGGAGGGAAACAATCATTTCTGCTTTCAAACAGTACCTGGTTCATTCTTGACAGTTACCAATCCACAGCAGTTCACCATTTTGGCACCTGAATGGGGAAGTCAGGTGCCATATTAATGTCCTCTTACCGGCATCTTACCGCGAAACAAGCACTGTTCACATCACTTTGAATAAGTTAATTGGTGTGTAACAGTAAACAGTAAAAAATCTTAATATGCCAAGTGCTTATGATGAATTGTTTTATAAAGGCAGCCACCGAATGCAACTACTGACAGTAGGATGACAGCCATTGAGAGGTTTATATAACCATGTTGGTATATGCACCATAACTGCTGGTTGCTGATAAAGAATATTGCTTTGTACTTTGTACTGTTAGGTTCTAAATAAACAGAGTAAAAAACGAACGGACATCTAGTCATATAATATTGGTCTTCCCAGAACATATTTCCTCATACAACAGTTGCTTTGTGCAAAAAGGGACATTACCAAGCCTGAAGTTCTTGTGAACAATAAACAATGAAATGATCAGCAGCCTGACGCAATAATGTCAATCTCTGTCCATTGTCCATCCAGCATAACCTCTGGTTGAACTAGTCATATAGATCCTATTAAATGATCCTAATGCCTAAACTAGTGAAGTAGGATGGAATGCAATAGTCAATAGTGGATGATTTTAAGTCAGGAGGTAGGCCTACCTGGCACCTGGAGGGTGCTGGTCAGGTATTTCATCATTTCAGAGATTTAGGCTAACAAAAATGTAGTAATTGAGGCAAGTAAACATGTATTGTCTGACAACTTGTATTATATTAAAGTTTATAAAGAAGCGTCTTTGGACAAACACGGACACTTGGATTTAGGTTACCTTATCCCAGGGTTCTTCAATTCCGTTCCTGGAGGGCCGAAACACTTCTGTTTTTTATTTCTACCTGGTAGTTAATAGCACTCACCTGGTGTCCCAGGTCTGAAGTAGCCCCTGATTAGAAGGAGAGGATGAAAAACAGAGGTGTTTCGGCCCTCCAGGACCGGAATTGAAGAACCCTGCCTTATCCCATCACACCAAAGGTAGAATATGCAATTGGGTGCAATATTAACCGTAGCATATTATTATTTTTACCAAAAAGAATAATAATTATAGAGCCTGTGATTAATGTCTGTTCAATAAACATACATTCTGAACGTTCTGTAACGTTGAGTACTGTTGAACAGACCCTGAGGCGCGGTCACTTTGCACTTGTCTATTCTAGCAAGCTAAACCAAACCTCCACAAAATAAGGAGAGTGTTATATGTTGATGATATCGAATTGGATGGTTCAAAGAAGTCTACAATAATAAACATAGTAAATGTAATTTCAATATCTGATACAATTTTGAATATGTTTTTAAGAAAACAGGAATGCTTACACAAAATAGCCTAATCATCCCCAAACGACGCATTTATGTATCATATTAGCCTAATTTCTAATCTGTAATGGCTGCGTTACTGGTCCTGTTGATAAAAAAATAGTTTTTACTTTAGTTTAGAATGAACATGCGTCAGAGTAGGCTTCTTTGGCTGTGTTTACACAGGCAGTCCAATTCTGAGTTTTTTCCATGAATTGGTCTTTTGACCAATCACCAGATCTTTTCACATCTGATCATTTTCAGAGATGGTCTGATTGGTTAAAAGACCAGTTAGTGAAAAAACTTTCAGAATTGGGCTGCCAGTGTAAACGCAGCCTCCTTCCTGGTTTATAAAGAAAGGCAAACGTCAACAGCAAACACGTGTAGGCGCATGGATGTGCACTCAGCTCATTGGCGGATTGTCATAGTCACGCCTACTATCTTACTATTGGTGGTGGTGGAAAGACACAATAGGCCTATTCAACCAATGGTTGTTTTTGAGTCTGTAATGCAGGTTTCTACATTATGTTTTGACAGTCTTATTATAAGGCATATATTTCTATAGGCTATGGCAATTATTCAATGGACTGAACACTAAACATACAGGTCACTGCCAAAATAAAGGAAACACTTGAGTAGAGGGATAGAAAGTACACTCAACAAAAATATAAACGCAACATGCAACAATTTCTAAGATTTTACTGAGTTACAGTTCATATAAGGAAATCAGTCAATTGAAACAAATGTATTAGTCCCTAATCTATGGATTTCACATGACTGGGAATACAGATATGCATCTGTTGGTCACAGATACCTTAAAAAAAGAAAAAGGTAGGGGTGAAAATCTGTCAGTATCTGGTGTGACCACCATTTGCCCCATGCAGCATGAAAAATCTCCTTTGCATAGAGTTGATCAGGCTGTTGATTGTGGCCTGTGGAATGTTGTCCCACTCCTCTTCAATGGCTTTGCAAAGTTGCTGGATATTGGTGGGAACTGGAACACGCTGTCTTACACATTGATCCAGAGCATCCCAAACATGCTCAATGGGTGACATGTCTGGTGAGCATGCAGGCCATGGAATAACAGAAAATGTTTTAGCTTCCAGGAATTGCGTACAGATCCTTGCGACATGGGGCCATGCATTATCATGCTGAAACATGAGGTGATGGCGGTGGATGAATGGCACGACAATGGACCTCAGGATCTCGTCACGGTATCTCTGTGCATTAAATTTTCCATCGATAAAATGGAATTGTGTCCGTAGCTTATGCCTGCCAATACCATATCCCCAGCGCCAACATTGGGCACTGCATTCACAACGTTGACATCAGGAAACTGCTTGCCCACACAACGCCATGCACACTGTCTGCCATCTGCCCGGTACAGTTGAAAGTGAGATTCATCCGTTAAGAGCACACTTTTCCAGCGTGCCAGTGGCCATTGATGGTAAGCATATGCCACTGAAGTCGGTTATGACGCCATACTGCAGTCAGGTCAAGACCCTGGTGAGGAGAACGAGCACGCATATTAGCTTTTCTGAGATGGTTTCTGAAAGTTTGTGAAGAAATTCTTCGTTGTGCAAACCCACAGTTTCATCAGCAGTCCGGGTGGCTGGTCTCAGACGATCCCGCAGGTGAAGAAGTCGTATGAGGAGGTCCTGGGCTGGCGTGGTTACACGTGGTCTGCGGTTGTGAGGCCGGTTTGACATACAGCCAAATTCTCTAAAACGACATTGGAGGCGACTTGTAGTAGAGAAATGAACATTCAATTCTCTGGCAACAGCTCTGGTGAACATTCCTGCAGTCAGCATGCCAATTGTACGCTCCCTCAAAACTGGAGGCATCTGTGGCATTATGTTGTGTGACAAAACTGCAAATTTTAGAGTGGCCTTTTATTGTCCCCAGCACAAGGTGCACCTGTGCAATGATCATGCTGTTTAATCAGCTTCTTGATATGCCACACCTGTCAGGTGGATGGATTATCTTGGCAAAGGAAAAATGCTCACTAACAGGGATGTAAACAAATTTGGGCACATCATTTGAGTTCATTAAGCTTTTAGGATCACCGACCATTTAGAATACCACCGTACCTTCTCCGCTATGCAATCCAGTTTCCGAGCTGGTCATGGGTGCACTTCAGCCACGCTCAAGGTCCTAAACGATATTATAACCGCGATTGATAATAGACAGTACTGTGCAGCCGTCTTCATCGACCTGGCCAAGGCTTTCGACTCTGTCAACCACCGCATTCTTATTGGCAGACTAAATAGCCTTGGTTTCTCAAATGACTGCCTCGCCTGGTTCACCAACTACTTCTCAGATAGAGTTCAGTGTGTCAAATCGGAGGGCCTGTTGTCTGGACCTATGGCAGTCTCTATGGGGGTGCCACATGGTTCAATTCTTGGGCCGACACTTTTCTCTGTGTATATCAATGATGTCGCTCTTGCTGCTGGTGACTCTCAGATCCACCTCTACGCAGACGACACCATTTTGTATACATCTGGCCCTTCATTGGACACTGTGTTAACAAACCTCCAAACGAGCTTCAATGCCATACAACACTCCTTCAGTAGCCTCCAACTGCTCTTAAACACTAGTAAAACTAAATGCATGCTTTTCAATCGAACGCTGCTGGCACCCGCCCACCCGACTAGAATCACCACTCTCGACGGGTCTGACCTAGAGTATGTGGACAACTACAAATACCTAGGTGTCTGGTTAGACTGTAAACTCTCCTTCCAGACTCACATTAAGAATCTCCAATCCAAAGTTAAATCTAGAATCGGCTTCCTATTTCGCAACAAAGCCTCCTTCAATCATGCTGCCAAACATGCCCTCGTAAAACTGACTATCCTACCGATCCTTGACTTCAGCGATGTCATTTACAAAATAGCCTCCAACACTCTACTCAGCAAATTGGATGTAGTCTATCACAGTGCCATCCGTTTTGTCTCCAAAGCCCCATACACTACCCACCACTGTGACCTGTACGCTCTTGTTGGCTGGTCCTCACTACATGTTCGTCGTCAAACCCACTGGCTCCAGGCCATCTATAAATCACTGCTAGGCAAATCCCCGCCTTATCTTAGCTCATTGGTCACCATAGCAGCACCCACCCGTAGTCTGCGCTCCAGCAGGTATATCTCACTGGTCATTCCCAAAGCCAACACCTCCTTTGGCCGCCATTCCTTCCAGTTCTCTGCTGCCAATGACTGGAACGAATTGCAAAAATCTCTGAAGCTGGAGACTCTTATCTCCCTCACTAACTTTAAGCATCAGTTGTCAGAGCACCTTACCGATCACTGCACCTGTACACAGCCCATCTGAAATTAACCCACCCAACTACCTCATCTCCATATTGTTAATTACATTGTTATTTATTTTGCTCTTTTGCACCCCAGTATCTCTATTTGCACATAATCTCTTGCACATCTAGCATTCCAGTGTTAATACTAATTGTAATTATTTTGCACTATAGCCTATTTATTGCCTTACCTCCATAACCTGCTACATTTGCACACACTGTATATATATTTTCTGTTGTATTTTTTGACTTTATGCTTTTTTTACCCCATATGTAACTCTGTGTTGTTGTTTTTATCGCACTGCTTTGCTTTATCTTGGCCAGGTCGCAGTTGTAAATGATAACTTGTTCTCAACTGGCTTACCTGGTTAAATAAAGGTTAAAAAAAAAAAAGAA